GAGTGACTCTAAAATCTAATATAAAATATAGACACAATTTCGTACAGTTACGGGACAAGATGGCGTACCCGAAAGCGACACAAGGAAAATAGAAATCGATCTAAGTGGTACCTTATTAACTAACCATAAGCCTGTATCACAGGATAACGAAACGTAGTGCCGTAAGATAGAAAATCTTTGAGCAGCACCAATATACAATTTGGGCAAAGTATACCATTACCTATCTATGTTAAGTTGCGTAGTTAAAAAGTCTATGTAAGCCTAATGATTAAGCATAAGAAATAGGATGACAACAACACGAGTACTTGAATTATATTAACGAAGGGTTGCAAAGAAAAAACTATACGAAAAAGAATGAACTGACGTTATACTACCAACATTTACACTGCTTTACAGTAGGTTGCGGGTACGAATCCATGCTCTCCGTTTAGTCGCTGTACCCAAATCCACTCTGGATTTCCCCCATCATCGTGAGCCTGAACGCCACAATAAAGACATGGGCTTTATTTTGAGAGAATCAATAAAACAAGCGAAAACCAACCTGAATTAAATCTAACCATTCTCCTGCGACAATCTCAAGTTGGTTTGGTCCGACAGGCTTGAAATCAAAAAGAGCCGACATTTTCCCAATCTGAATCACAATTATAATAGTAAGCATCAAGAAATGTTATGGATAGGAGGCGTAAGTCACAGCCAACAAAACTAGGTCACAGTGAATATATTGCGCAGCAATAAATTAATAGTATGTGCTTAGAGGGGCCACCTAACTTGCTCACACACAGCAGAACCGAAATCAATTGTCTACTATACAGCTGCATCATTCTGCCGAATCAGGTAAATGAAGAAAAAATACACTAGCATATCAGTGAACTGACAGTTTTTCGAAGACGTAATACACAAGAACCTCTAGGAGTCTGAGACAGACCTTCAAGAGAAGAGAAGCTTGAGAAGTGAGTCATGAAGATTTAGAGAACTAATTAAGGCTTCAACTACACTTCGTTATCTTTACTGGTGCTTTTCAACTTCTGGTTCAGTAAAAAAATCTAGTAAACACAAAGAAGCACTGACCGAAGGAAGTCTTCCATTTTCAACTGGAGGTGTATCGTATGAAGAAATAGTACTTGACTTAGTTTCTCCCGGTGGTTCTTCGTAAAGAACAGGGTAAACTGAAAGCAATGAAAATTGATGGACGGTTTCCGAAATTAAAAGTGTTGCTATAAGCAATTAGTACTATATCCAAATTTTTTTCTTACTCAAACACACAAAAAGGAAATGAAATAAACTGATGTTTCAATTTTAAGAATGAAATGAAATTTCGCAGTTACTGACCAGAAAACTGATTCGTTCTTATTGGGACTCGATTTCATAGAAAGGGATGTAGATATGACGATGTTGGTGAGCTTGCCAATTGTTTTTTACCTACTATCTCCAAAAATTGCAACAAAGAAAGTAAACCCTTTTTGATTTGACCTAGTAATCAACACTACAGAATTTTCGAACTATCATTGGCAATTAGAACTTCTGCCACGCCACTCGGCTGATTTCCAAAGAGTCAGGGTATAAACAGGTCAGGTCAGATAACCTCATAGTTTCCGTATACATTACAAAACCTTTTTTTTT